TCCCGGCGCCCGCCTGGCCTCGCCCGGCCTCGCCCGGGTGCCGGTTCTTGCGAAGACCCGCATGGCAAGACCTGGAGAGCTCGTCTGGGCTCTTTCCCCTCCGCGGCTTGACATGCTGCCTTTTGGAGATAAGCGGAGGTATTTGCTCCCCCTTGTCACACTGCAGCCGTGGGACTCGCAGCTGAAGCCCAGTGAATTTCGGCTATTTTTAGAAGCGGAGTCAGGTTTCCATGTGGAATATTTTTCCGATAAACAAAGCAGCGGGGATGCGGAGCACGGGCGATCTGCAGCTCCCACGGTATATCTTGGTGGAGAGCTCGGGTCAGTGAGTCCCGCGGTCCCTTCCCCGGACCGAGCGCCACTCGCTCCGCTCCCGGTCGCGAGCCCCTTCGCCATCTGCTCGGCGCTGCCGGTGTTCTGCTCTCCCCGGTCACTTAGCAGGGATGGATGCGTTCTGAATGAGGCTGTGCTGCGGCTCCTCTCTGCATGGGATGGGGCGGTAAGAAGAGAAATCCCCATTAATAATTGACTCGCAGCAAGCTAGAAAGCTTCAGGGGTCACCTGCTTGCTTGTGACCATCTGCCACGCTGTCCCCTTTCTTCTGCTGCTGCTTCTTTAACAGGAAGAACAATAAAAATGCCTTTAAAAATGTCTTTTAAATGTTGATTTTTTTTGGAAAAAAAAGGCTGTGCATAGGTGTAGGATGCATAGATGGAAGCAGTTAACCCCGATACTCTCCAGAACAGCGGTGCACGGTACGTAACTGAAGGGGAGCCTGTTTGCCCAGGAAAACTGGGTGTTAGCAGCTTGGAGAAGTAGCATTTTATTAGTTCAGCCTGTCACACTTCCTCTGGAACCTGGAAGGAGTATTGAACAAATAGGAATGCTAATTAATAGTAAGCGCTGTGTCGGATTTGGTTTCCCCATGGAGAAGTTGGGTTCGGTTGTTTGTTTATTTGTTTTTGTTGTTTGGGTTTTTTGGTGTGTTGTTTGTTGTTTTTTTTTTTAATGCTGAGACACAGTTTTGTGTTTGTGTGGGTCTGAAAAAGGCATGAGTTCACAAAATGCAGTTCAGTCGTGTCTCTGCGACGGCGATGCCTCTGCATTTAGAGAGGGTTTTTCAGAAGAACTGTTGACTTCAAGTTCTTACTTGGTAACAATTCTGTGATGTTTTTGAAGTGATGTTGCATTTGTCTCAAAACTCTCCTCTCTGCTGTCTCACATGGAATTTTCTTATTTTTTCTTGTCTTTGTTGTATAAATAGAAAACTATAAGTATATAACAAGGATTACCTCTTTTATAGTTTGCATTTGAAAAGACAAATGACAACTTACTTGACTGCCTGTTGGTTCAAAGCTTATTCACTAAAGCGATACCCTGTAAAGCTGAGCGGTTTGAAAGAACTGAGGTACTTTGTAAAAAGGTTTCATGTCCTACATCGGAGTGTTATTTAGAGCTTGAAAAGAGAAAAAACCCTAAAATTTAATGCCATGCTTTGTTTTTAGTTGAATCATTGTACAACAGGAATGCACTGAACAAAGCCTATGCTGTTAATGTTTTCTTACTGAGCATTATATTTACTCTGTCAAGTAAAGCAGCATTCCTTGAACTAGTTTCAACTGTTTTCTAATCTTAATTTACTGCTTCTCATTTTTTCTTTTGCTTCATTATATGACAAAGTCCTAAAAGTAACAGACCAAGAAGTTAGTTAATTTGGTATCTTACGGAGCACAGAGGCATATTTTACTTCACATTGTGAGGCACAATTGCTAATGGTAAAAATAGTTTCTGTATCTGTTTCTCATATATTTATACACAGGAATAGGAAAAGATCAACAGCTGAACCATTTATTACAGAGCAGTACATCCCTTTCCACTGAGACTAATGAGCTTTGAATCAGAACTTAATTTAGCACTTTTATGATAGGTATTAAATATTTTTTTTTTCTCTGCAATTAATTAATTTTGGCAGTTCCCACAAAAATAAGTTTTAATTAGGTGTCTAAATAATACCTATAAAATAAAATGCTTTGGGTGGTCTTATGCCTGCAGATTTTTGGTTTTTTGGTTGTTTTTTTTTCTTTTTAAAAGTATGGGAGTCAAACATCTCATATAGTCATTGAGTAGTTATCTTTTGTTCCATTTTGCATAGGTCAGTTTGAGATTAGTATCTGTTCTCATGATTTAAATAAAACTTATATTTTCTGGCAAGGTGGCACTTTAAAATAAAACATTTCTTTTTATTCACAATTAGTTTTTATGAACTCTTGTTCATAACATGACAAATGTTGGAGTTAGTAGGCTCCCCAATCCATATTCTGGATTCTTGGGGAGAAGGACTGCAGGTCGTCTACTTAACAAATTGCACCTGCTTTCCTCCTCTCCCCTAAAACGTGTTGTGGAAGCCAAGTGTATACAGATGGCTTACACCTTGTATTTTGATCCTGCAATGCCTCGAGGTTGATAGCATCTCCAGGCAGGCCACATTACTGCCTTCCTCAAGTCTCTGCCGGCTACCTGGGCTGACATATTCTGCCATAAAGCTACACTGATTGACTTCCACCTGCACAGCACAAGGTTGCAACCCTACAAGGATGTCATCCAGGTGAACAACTTGAAACTGCTCCCTTCTTCGAGTCCGTGAATAAACTGTGATCCCATGAGTAGGAAGCTACGGAATCAGTTCTTTATTGCTTTATTTTGTACCAGGGAGACAAGTGGTATACAGAGATAATATAAATAGCTATTATCCATGGAGTGTGGTTACAGTATGATCAAAGTGCAGAATGACAGAGGGGAAGTGTCTCACCAGCACATGCAGTGACCAGATGAATTTGGTTCACTTGGTGATACACTGTGCTGGTTGACAAACTTTCTGGCCAGAGAGTTTGTTACTGCACCCTTACGAGTTTAAGAGTTTCTACATGCCTAGCTCCTACTAAATTTAAGCTATTTATTTTATTCCTTTTATTTTTTTTTCCATTTCCTCTCGTTATTTTGCCCCTTTCCAAGTTTGACAATTGCCTATCATATTCTGGCTTCCCACAAAGCAGAAACATTTTGAAGTGAAATGATTCTTCTTTTAGATCATATTTTATGTTTACCCATACTGCTGTTAAAGGCTCTTTGTAGCTGCTGCTACAAATACAATTTTTCTAACTAGATGTTATAAAGGCATAATCTGCAGCCTTTTTTGTCACAGAATTTTACTGAATTTACGGCTGAATTCGTTACCCTTTTTGTCGTCCTGAAGTTTTATCTTTTTAAGTTCCTTTAAAAAAAAAAATCCAAGCATTGTCATATTCAATCATCATACTTATTTTAACCCCCTATGGAATACTTCTGTATTTCTGCCTTCCTATTTGTCCCTACTCTGAAAAATACAGCAGTGATTCTCTCTTCGCGCTCTTTGCGATCAGAAGCAGCACACAGCCAAAGTAAAAATTCTCCTCTCGCTCAGAGGCAACTGCATTGTTCCGGGAAGTTTTTGTCTGGTTTTCCTAAATGTATGGCGTGATAGATGCAAATTATTAACCCAAGTCTTGTATGCCTTTCACTGGAAGTAAGATCATTTTGTTAGAATTACAAGTCTTGGCTTATTAGCAGGGTTGGGAAATATTTACAAATGAATTAAGGTGGGGTTGTATTTGGAAAAATAAATGTCCTTAACAGCGTGGTACTTCATAGCACTTCACTGAGGATTCCAGAAATGGTGTTTACTGGGAAACTGTACTTCACTGGAATTCAGAGATTGTATAACTTGAATATATCAATTGCATTTATTATTATGAAAAAAATCAAGTTCAATTGATTTTTTTTCTTCTCGATGGCTGGTGGACAATCAGTTTATAATATGCTACCTGTAGTATGAAATTACTTAGGATATTTGCCTTCTAATCTCTTTGTCTAGAGAGCTTTTAAAAATGTCTTTCATTTTGAGCTGGCTATTTGTTGTTTAATCTCATAAATATTATATGTCACATGCATTATGTCACTCTTTTGTTTCGTAACATACAAGTGCCTAATTTTTTCTAATTGAAAGGAAACTATTTTTTGGAGCAAGAGTATGAAAATTCAGATTTTTCAAAGATAGAATTATTGAATATTTTCTGCATTGAAATGTGCTTTGACCTGTGCTTTTTCTTAAAAAGATATTAACTGACATAGAAAAAAAAATCCTAAAAATATACAGGCATGAGCCATATTAATCCCTAACACGACCTTGGTATGTAGGCAGTGGGTTTTAAACTTCTATGATTGAAGGACCCCTAAGAGTTTTCCAGTGGAGGCACAGAATCCTATGCAAATTGTTTGTAATGCTCAGCTTATCTCAGCTTTTCTGAGAATGAAGTACAGAAAAAAAATCAATATCTGAAATCTTGGAAAGTTTTCTTGTTGGTCTAATGATCTCTGTAGCTGTCCCACTTATAAATAATGTATCTGTATCCTTATGCCTTTCTTGATAACTGCAAAGTATTAAGATAATCCTAAAATATTTTAAAAGCCTGACTGATGCAAAATGCACTCAGGAATGTTATTCACATTCATGAAGTTGTAAATGTGATTATGTATTTTTGGTATTTCTTCTTGGAAATAAAGCTAGGTGAGTGCCAGAGTATTTTGCAAACAATGTCTAAAACAGCAATTACTGTAGACTGAGGAAACTGGCATTTGAGAAATCACTTACTAGCAATTTACATCTTTAATTCCCCAAAAAGCTCTAACCTGAACTCCTACACAGAATCTTTGGTGTGAAGATAAAGTAGTCAGCAGATAGTACTGAACAGCTACAAGGAGAATGTGCTTTTACTACGTACCATTTGCCCTAAGTAATAGACAAACAAACAGGCAGGCACAAAACATTAATTAAAATACAATTAAACCTTAGAGGACAGGTCGAAAATAAGATGGGGTGAACTAATTTAACAGTTAACATCTCTTTTTACCTTCTTCAGTAACTTTATTACCATATTACAGTACTTTTGATCATGCCAATAAGCATTTGAAATCTCATTTCCTTTTTTTTTTGCTCTTATTAGGGACACTTTAGAGAACAAGGTGAAATTTCTGGCGGAGCTGAGGCATACATGTGGGAGACAAGAAAGTTAGACACCTTTTATTTCTAAATTCTAGAAGTTCATGGAAGTTGTGTGTTGGGCATCTGTTGAAGAATCATCACATGAGGAGGAAATTCATGGCTTTGATTAGGACAAAGACTACATATATAAAACAAAAACATCTCTCAGTCTAATTTTGAAGCTGAAGTGAGACTTCCATAGGGTGTAGACGTTGTGCTAGCTCTCTGCACAAGGATAAAATTCGTGATACATCACCTGTGATGTCTTCAGATCAGATAAAGTACATCATAGCCTATGTTCATGCTTATTTGAATGCTAGATTAAAGCTGGATTAAAGCTGTGTGGAAATATATGACTCAGATCAAGAATTACAAACAAGGCAATTTTAGACAATACATTCTGGACTTGACCTAATATGCTACCACCCATTTTAATTTTCACCATTAAAGAGCAAGCATTTTGCTTTTGTCATGAATAAATATCATTAATAAAACCACAGAATACAAGTCTTTCTCTTCCTTACTGGCAAACATACATAAATTTACATGGAATGATTTCTCATTTATATGATTTACTTAAAGAAAAGAAAAAAAAAAAGGGCATTAAATACAAAAGGAGCTATTTATGGAGTGCCAGAAAAGAAGCCCTATTCAAATGACCCTTGTGAATAACTCAATGGTTGTAATTTCCCTCTGGCACTGAAAATACAGCCACAAAATATATTTGCTTAGTAAAAGATATATATTTTCCCATTTATTTGTGCATTATGGTGAACGCATCCCAGCATAGAGAGCCATCCCAAAGCCTCTGCACCACTTAAGTCCTACTTAAGCCCTATTTTAGGAATTGAAGTGGAACTGAAGTGGTGCCTAAAACTCAGGTGAGGTCTCCAGGCAGGTCTGAACTTAACTTTTAATCTGTCTTTCACCAAAGTCAATGGCATTGTCCTATTGCTTTCCCCAACAAATTCACTAGATATATAGTTAAAGATTTTTGAGCTTGGAACAAGAAGGAAACATTTGGAGGAGAAATAAAGGTCATGTTTTAGAATTTGACCTTTAGTCCCTGAGAATTTATTCTGGCTGTCTTTATAGTGTGAATAGAACATCCCTTCTATGGAGGAAAACTGTCTCGTGAAAAGTTTAGCTTGCAGTTTGGTTGGTAAAGAAAACTTGAAAATAGCCAAGAATAGCCTGTTGGTGTTAGTCCTCCATTTCAAATACTTTTGCTTCAAATAATAAAGCAATCTCTGCCTCCTATTTTAAAAAATAATATGAGCATTCAGACAAGATTTACATTCTTTCATAGTTCTAAAAAGTTGTTATTTCACTCTTTCATGAGCAGGGTTTGAATCAAGAATTAGAGTTCTTAATTTAGATCTGTATTCAAACAGAAGTCCGTTGGGCCACTTAACACGTTTAAAGTTAAGTGTATACCTGTATATTTGACTGAGTTGTGCCAAAAAATTGGCACTGACTTTAAGTCATACTTTGTTTTCAAAACCTGTTTGCCTACCACTGTTAGAAATAGCATCTCTAGTAACTATAATTGGAAAGGGTTTAAGGAGAAACAACTATTGTCTTTGTCAATCTACTTTTTTAGTCAGTTTGAAAACTTCTTTTACAGTCAGTTTACTGTTTCCATCTAATGAGGCCTTATACAGTTTATTGAAATCTTTCCATGGCCAGAAAGGAGACAAAAACACTTAGAACATGATTGTGAAATAGGAAGTACTGTAAAGAAAATGGGAAGGCAAATATAATATCCAAGTGACTTGAGCTTCCAAACTAGTTTGTTAAAACTGAATAGGTTTGGAATTGTTGGTAATGCTTTAAATGATTTCTAAGTCTAAATTATGTCAAGATGTGGGAAAGAAATTTGAAGACATCTAGTGGTTGTTTTAAGGAAAGCAACTGAGAAAATCGAAGTTTGAAATACTCATTTCAACACTAGCAGGATTAGGGTTTAGGAATTCAGATACTTGAAAACTGGCGTTCTCTAGTAGGCAAATTTGGATTGAATCCCTCTCCTGAAGTGTGTTATCAGTAACTGCTGGTTTGAATGAAAAAATAGCAAACCAGTCCACACAACTACTGAAACATACATTGTATATATGAAAGATTTATGAAAAACAGAGAAAAAGATTGATGAGAAAATTGATGTTTCACTGAAAGCTACTCATCAATCAGTACTTTTATGGTGTGGTAATTGTTATGCATTCTTTGTGCAAGATAAGTAAGATGCAATATACTATTATTGTTGCATCTTGGTATTACTTTTGTGTTCTGTTTTTGCAAATTTTGTCTGAAGATGCCAAATACTTGCTGAATGGTCACACTGGTATGGTCTTACATATGTAGCATGGTTACATGTGTGAGCAAGACAATCACAATCTGGCTGTTACTCTTTAAACATCCTCCCTGAATGTTTTTTGTTTTGAGAAGTATGCTGTGTATTTTGAAGATAATCAAAATGAAGCAAAGATGGGTACAGTAAATTATTTAATAGTCCCAGTGTATGAGCAGAATAGTAATTACTGTCAGGTCAGCATGGTTTGATATGCACAGGAAATAAAGCAAGGTTCTCTTCAGGTCTTAGACCTAAGGTTGTCTTCAGGTCTACTTCTGCATGACCTGGCTCAAGCCCTGTCACTTCCTTGTGCCTATGTTTTCTCACCCAGTGATTTTCTAATTTTGTTGCCTATTCACATTGAAAGCTTCTTGCTCTAGGGACAGGTCTACTTTCTGAACAGTATTTAACAAATCAGGGCTGAAGAGTCTTAATTCCTCTGAAGTTCCTGAGGTCTCATGTAAGAGATAACGTGTACTTGTATACAAGTGATTATAGAGGGGAGGATCACACAATCTTTTTTTTTTTTTTTTCCTAATGTTTTAGCTGCTATTGTATTTACATCCCCTTCTCATCCTTATCTCTTCAAAATTTCCCTCCAATTTTGTCACCTGCTGATGAGGTCACCAGCCAAATTCAGCAGTCAGGATTGTCATACTCCTTTGAAATTGTGTTTTATAGAGGAAAGACTGAATTTGGCTGATAGAAGTGACTAAAACCCAGTTATTTCATATTCAACTATTCCTGTTTATCAACTCTGGGATAAATTATAGCTTTCTTGAGTGGAGGCCAGAGGACCAGAGTGCAGTAAAGGATGCATGCAGCTCCCGAGGAACGGATGTAACTACTCAACATGCAGTGATTGCTATGCTGGGATGAAGGCATGGCATAGGTTTTAACTATCTGCGTAGATCACTACAGATCAGTATCTGCTCCTGTTTAATACACTCCTGCAACTTCTAAACTTACTTCTACAGCAAGGGTCTTGTCCTTACAACCAGCTCTTGCCAATGCCAATGCTTCCTGAAGACTATCCATATGAATACAGTAGTCACAAGTGTTTGTTTCTTCCCGTAGTCCTTTCAAAATGACATCTTAGTCATACACAGGACTTGTTACTGATTTCCAGTAACCTCACTTGTGGTTCAGTATGTTTCTGGTATCAGATATCTGTTGAGCTAATTCTGTGCTGAGAAACTAATTGTGTTAGTAATAATACTCTTTTTGTCTTGCATTGTTAAATAGGATTGTGTGTCAAAAAGCAAACGCATGTCAAGACTTCGATAGATTTTAAATAGAGTTAGAATACGCCAGTTAATGTGAAATGCTACTTCTTCTACCCGTGTGTATAACTGTGTGAGTAAAAGGAGCTCAATAGTTTCCTTGTTAGAAGAGGCATTCAGTAAAGGTCAGTGAACACTGTTCTTATTCCAGCTGAATTTGAACAGCTTTCCTGTTGCCCAAATAAAAATGCCTAAATGGTTTGAAGTTGAAAAGCATGCTTTAAACACTATCGTTAAGGATTTGTTGTTGTTAACCTACAGAGCTTTCTGAGAATCACACACTATGTTGGCAAGTTATTGGCGCATCATCTAAGAGACATTAAAAGGGACAGGAATATGTTACTCATAATTATGCAGCTCCACATACAGTTCTGTTCAATGTCAAAGTGCTTCATAAATAGTGCAGATACCTAACAAGCAGTCAGTTCTTGTTAAAGAAATGTAATTACTTTCATGTGAAAGATTTTACAGTTATGCTCCACATCCTTCAGCAGCCTCCTTAAGACAGAGAAATGAACGCTTATTTTACATAGTAAAAAGGCAAGAAGGTAAAAACTAAATTATCTCATGGCCACGCTTTAAGAACTAGTGTTAGAATTCAAAATGCATTGTTCTTACTGATTCCTGTTACTACACGGTTAAGGCCAGGGGACATCTTACACAACACTCCAGAATAAATAAAATGGCAGGTTTCAACTGATAAATCAAATTTCTCCTTTAGCTTTTGCTTTCTCCACGAAGGGTACCCGATTCTTTCTCTGCCTTGTATCTTATATTAAGATATTAACAATATTAACACATATTAACACATCAACCTATGTAACTTCAGTGTAAAGCAGAGCTAGGTGAATTGATAGCGTTGTATATTCTCCTTTCCTCGTGTGTAAATAAGCACTGAATCAGATCGCTCTACAGATTGCTGTCACTCAGCAAGAGTGCAGCTTCACGCCTGTGCATTTGCAAACATGCCTAGACAAAGTACACGGCTTCCCATGCCGAATCACTTGCTAGTTTAAGAACACTCTCCATCTGATACTAGGTTATTACAGTTACTTTGAAATCTCATTTTACATTAATGCTAGTTCTCCATGTTCAAAAATCAAGTCAGCACACACAGTCATTAAATTGGGTCAAGTCACAAGCCTTCTTTTAAAACTATTCATTATTCTATATCTACCTTCTTGTGTCTGAGGCTTTAAAGGCACCAAGCTCACGTTTTCAGGGTCTTTTCTGCAGCCTTAGTCCTAGATGCTAGATTTTGTTTAGAAAAAGCTAAAATTTACAGGTAATTCCTTTTCTTGAGGAGATTAGAATAAAACAAAAAGAACCCACATATAACACATATGATGACAAGAGTTATCAGCACCGATTCTAGAGGTTGTACTTGTGTTGACTGACAAATTTTTTGCATTTTAAGCTTTTTGTTTTTCTTAAGGATGTTTTTGGTCATTTTCATCGCAAATTTTTACTCTGTTTCCTCATTCAGTTTAATAAATGAAAAATTCAAATGTTATCAAATGCTAGCTTCTTATTTTGACTCTCATTGAAACAGCTTTTGCAAATGTGATATTGCCCTGTGCAGATTATATTATGCCTTTCAGTAATACATGGTCATGGCTCCCACATTTAAAATTTATCCCGTTTATGTACTATAAAGTTCTAATAAGATATTAATTGTTCTTTATGCATCTTCACTGCAAGAAACATTTGGATGAGGTAACTTCACAAAAAAATACATATCACTGCTGTAATAAAGAAGGATCATTGGTAGTTTTTATTAATATACTTTAAAAGCAGAGCTTACTTAAGTAGCTAAGCAATGAACCAAAACTCTTTCAGAAAAACAATGGAATTTCATTGTGTTCTCTGGCACCATGTTTCAAGTAATTGGACTAGCTTTAGATTGCTGGTAAATTTATAATAGCTGTTGATTGAGGTGTATTATTGCTACAGCAAGCACTGTTCCAGGAGCTTCATGGAAAATGTAAAAACATGGAATGAAATCCTAGCTCTGTGGAACTCAGAGGCAAAAATCCCACTGCCTTAATTGTGTCCCACTTTTCATTCAGTGGCTTTGGACTCTTTATCATCAGAAGATCCACAAATGTCCTATGTGACCACACTGACCATTCAGCCCTGAAGATCATTGGGGCTATAAATTATATTAACCCTGTATGTAAGGTTTTGCATGTTCTGGACCACAGTACACAGACAGTAGCCAAAATAAAGAGTAGTCTGTCATCCATTTATTTGGAGTTGCACTGATGTGAATAAGAGAAGAATTTGGTTTTACAGTGCTACACTGAGTGATATTTACCTCAGTCAGACATAGTTTTTAGAGGGGAAAAAAATTACCAGGTAGCAGCACACGCTGAAGTGGAATGGGTACAGTAACATAATGACTTTCTTTTGCCCAGGTGCTCCCTTTACACGCACACTATTTCCTACATCAATTAATTTTTCATAGCCTGTTTGCCTACAGTTGAGGTCTCCAAATCATATGCGATTGCAAAATCTGAAAAACTCTTTCAAATCCTCCTAACAAAAGACAGATGAGTTTCCTGTTGTGGATTGCTTGCTAATAAAAATAATGTTGATGGACTTTAGATTTTAATTAATTACTTTACTTTGAATTAATGGCTAATTACACTTGCAGGATTGCATTCTACAACATAGATGAAGCTGTTCTGTAAGGAAGAAAAGGCTATGTACAGTGCTTTTCATATTTAACATATACTGATGCATGTAACTGATCAGCGGCTGACTAACCTGACTGATTTCCATGGTTTCATTCAGCTTCACTCTCGAAATTCCTGTGGTCTGCTGAGCAAATAGAAAATATCCCAAATTTAAAACATGACCATCATGAAAGGTTTCCAAAAGATCAGACTTTTTAATGGGATTTTTGCTGTTCACAGGCCTATACATTATGTAATTCAGAAAAAAACCCCCAACATTTCTTCTGAGAGTAGATCATGTGCTGTAAGGAATCCTCAACACTGAGTAAATGAAATAAAAAGCCCTGTATTTTTTTTTTTTTTTTTTTAAAGCCAGACAGATTTTGGACAAGAAAATATTATAGTGATAAGAAAAAGTATACTTATGTTACTGATGATATATGTGCTTATGGATAATTCAAGATATGCTGTATTTAGTGAGGACATTATTAGGGTTGGCATTCTAATACTAACTTAATTTGAGAAACACAGTTAAATATTAGAGATGCAGGACATTTTTAAATTAATGGCAAACTCTTAAAAATATAATTTTGGGGGTATTCAGTATTTTGGGTTGAGTTAGGCAATGAGTTTCATCTGCAAGGAAGGGAAATAGGAGAGATGCATGAAAACAGTCTGCCTTTTCATTATTTTGAAGGGGTGGGGTGAATTAGAAATAGTCATGTTTCTTTCTGACAGTTTTTAAGCAAAACTTTTGTGCTTTGAGTCAAAACAGCATTTTTCACAAACTCTGAGAGAGCACGATAAGCTGATTTTAAAACAGTGTATAGGCGACATAAAAATAAGAGGGGCTGTAGGTGATCTGACAGAGAGAACTGAAGTTCAAAATTATCTTTTTAGAAGTTAGAAATGGTCTAGAAAAACAGAATTAAAACAGAAAGCTTTGTCTTCATTTGAATATATATATATATTATACAGAAATCTAAATCTTAGGAATGGGAAGGACCAGAACTTTTCAAGCATAAAATTACGGTGTAAACTTCTGATCTTTTATATTCTGAAAGCCACAGCGTAAGCAGTCTTCCTCTGCCCTATCCAGGTATTTCCTTTAGGCATAAATAGCTTCCTTTTTACAGGGCATAAAACATTACTGCTTAATCTAGGCTAAGTGCTGTGTAAAATTGAAGAATATTGATTCACAGCAGCACACGCACGTCCACTGTGTGAAAACATTTAAAGTTCCCTTCTTTGGAGCATTCTCTTCAAATATGTATTAGTTCCTGAGGATTTGTAGCTTACATAATTCACTGAATTTTTATTTTTGTTTTACAGAGAAATGGTTAATGCATGGTTTGCTGAGAGAGTTCATACCATCCCTGTCTGCAAGGAAGGAACCAAGCCCCAGAGTGAATCCTGTGCTTGTCACCAGCCTGCCTGTGCTGAGATCACCAACGCTGGGACGCCAGCGAGGAAAATCTCTGCTTCTGAATTTGACAGACCCTTAAGGCCTATTTTTGTCAAGGACTCAGTAGGAGCAGTGAGCTTCCTCTCTGGCTCTGAAAAGAAGGAACAGATGCCTCTGCAATCTCCAAGGATTGAGACCAGTGCAGGGGATCAGTGCTCAAGACTCCTAGAACTTGTGAAAGATATTTCTAGTCACTTAGATGTCACAGCGCTTTGCCATAAAATTTTCCTACATATCCACGAGCTTATAGCGGCCGATCGCTATTCCCTGTTCTTGGTCTGTGAGGATAGCTCTAATGAGAAGTTTCTGGTAAGCAGGCTATTTGACGTGGCAGAAGGCTCCACCCTGGAAGAAGCTTCCAACAACTGCATTCGCCTGGAGTGGAACAAAGGCATTGTGGGTCATGTAGCAGCTATAGGCCAGCCTCTAAACATCAAGAATGCGTATGAGGTAAACCAAGGAAATTTATCTTGAATAATTCTTGAAAAAAGAAAAAGCAGCTGTTGTAATATTGCCATTTTAGCGTATATATTTGGAGCTATACTGACTTAAACCAGTCAAGATGCAAACCTGACACCATGTTTTTGGTTATAATACATGTGTTACAGATGCAGAAACACGAAGCTGTGACTAATGCTAGAGGAATGCTAACATCAAAATAAATTCTGTAAATTGATATTAGCAGTCGGATATCAGCCCCATCTGAACCAGCTATGCGCACACCAGTATTTGTATTTCTAGCTTTGGATACTTAAATGTTTACATTTTTGCTTGTGTAAGAATGTAAGATACTTCTGCAGCAAAAGAAATGAAGTTGTGAGTTTAATTATCTGCAAAACTGGAGTCCTATGACTAAAAATACTTTGGAGAATTTCATCAAACCTGAGGCACAAAGAGTAGGAGCTGAATGAACAGGAATGGGATGAGGGTTTGAAATGTACAGAGGTCTCCCAAGAGAAATTATGCTCTGTGATTTGAGTTGTTCAATACAAGGCCAAATGAAAAAAGGAAGAGAATCCAGTACTGGGAGAGCATGCCTCTTACATCTCATCTTAACATCTCTTCATTCCAGGCATTTTGGATATGCTGATTTTGTGCTCTGAATTTAGGGATGATGAAAATTTTAATGAATTACTTAAATGGCTAATTAACTAATTTAAAGAGGCCTACAGACCTGAAAATTACCACTTCTGATTGATCATCTCAGTTAATCTGAGCATGTTTACAGAATTAGGAAACATTACTGACTAGATTTTTTCAGAAGCAAAAAAGAATGGTATGATTTCCTGTAGTTTCATTTTCAACAAACACTTGTTTGCTGCCTCAGAATCTGCCTAAACATTTGCTAAGTACATGTTTCCAGTGGGACATCACTTGTCCTTATAGTTTAAAAATTCATTCTTGAATTGGGTCCACCCATGCTCAACTTGAAATCAATTACTACAGAAAGAACAGCAGCCTTTAAAAATAATCTGATTTATTTTAGTAAGATTTAAAAAAAAAATAAAAATCAAAGTTTTATAACAATATGCAGCTGAAAAAATGAAACAAGCAATCTCTAGTAAAAGCAAAAACACTAACTATGTTCATGAAACTTTGTTCCTCTGTGGCCATGTGTCTTTCAGTATATTTCTGTAATTTCTTCTTGATGATAAAAGCTATACTAGGGATGGTTAGTCCATATATACATTTATTATAATGATTGTCTAGGCTCAAGAAAGGCTTCTGCTAGGGTCTGGAGTGTTTTGTTCTTTCTGGCAGGTACTCATGTTCCACGTAAGTACTTTTTTGTTGTTGTTTTAACACACTGATAGTAACAACTTTATATAATTATCAGCTAGTAATAAAACCTTTGTTATCCTGGGTAACACTTGAGTCAAATATTGTACTTTTCTTAACCTTTAAAGCAGAGAAGAAAAAGAACTGGTCTTTAGGCAAGTAGTCAAATAATTGTATTTTTTTCCTTGTATCAGGATCCAAGATTCAATGCAGAAGTTGACCAGATCACAGGGTATAAGACTCAGAGTATTCTCTGTATGCCAATAAAGAATCATAGGGAAGAGGTAAGTTGCAGTATTTGGATCACTTCATGTAATACTGTTTCCTGCTGTGCTAATGCTGCTGACTTTTATTAGCTGGCAGTCATTATCTTACAGTATAAAACCATCTCTTTTTTAAAATGACTGCTTATGTTTGCGTGGATTTTAACTTTATCTTATCTAGTTTAGTAATGTAAGCCAAAGGGAATTGTCAAGAGTTTAATCCCAGATGCAGAAATAGAATATATATGTATTTAACTCTAAAAGTGCTGTTCCCTGTTCCGGTACCAAGTGTCTGTCAGCATTAAAGTTCTCTGCACGCTTACTGGTCTATCTCGGTGCATGCTCACGTTGCTGTTAAGAGTTACTGTACTTCAGCTTAGCTTGTATCTACATTATTTTCTTCAGAGGACACAAACTGGGTTTTATCATTGTCTAAAAGGCTGGTTTTTACATTCTATCAACTCAGCTCATAAGCAATAAATTAAGAAACATGTTAAGTACTTAACATCAGGCATTGAAAAACACATGGTGTCGATGTGATTCAGAAAAGTCATCCAAAAGGCACAGAACTTAAATCACTCCTAATTTAAAACAATGTGAATCTGCTCATTGAACTCCTGTACGTATTTCTCCCATCCCTGCTACTTCTCACAGAAGTTTTCCCTTCCTGTGTCATGCTATTGCAGTAGGAAGAATTCTTATTATGGACTAATGATGTCTTCTTGCACTCAGTAGTTGAAGAGTAAATTCAATAAAATCAATGAAAGACAATGAATGGAAAAAAAAGTGAGGTCCACTGTTTTACTTAGGGAGTAAGTAAAGTAAGTTTGGGGTGTTTTGATCCTGAATGTAGTAACTATGTAGTAGCTTTCAGCCTCATCACCAGTTCTTAGAATACACAAGTGGAAGGCTTTTAAGAAGCTTTTTTTGTCAGACCTTTAAGAAGGAGATTTTCTCTCCTGTAATTCCTTTATTTTTCACAGTATTTATAGTTTGCTTCCAGAAAGTTCTAACTCTAAAAAGAAATGCTGCCAAAATTGGTTTGAAGACATCATACCTTCTTTTCCTTGCTCTTCCATATTTTATTCCTCTTACAGAATGTGCCACCTTGACTCTTACTGTACTGAAGCTTTTTTCCATTAAATAAATTGATTAAACTCTAGACTTAACTTTTTTGTTGAATGTTACTTTAGCTAACCCAGATGATCAGCCAGGATTTCCTTTCTTCACCTACTGCTACTTTTAGTTTAAAATATTTTTTTCAGTTCTTCCAAGGACAGCACTTGATCCTCTCCTACTTCCACTCTTGCTTAAAAGTCTTCCCCTTTCTAACCAGCAGCAGCCACTGCTGGCCCTGGGCCAGCTGATGAGCAAAGCAGATGTTGCATGGAGAGTTGTCAGGGACCAGTGGTCCACATCAGGCTGATGCAAGGCTTTAAATTTCACCCAAGCCATCCCATTTTCTTTTTGTTGAATGGAAAAAATGCTATGCTCTGGCTAATTTGGATGAGAAATGAATTGCAAAATCTTGCTGGCCAGGAAGAGTGGAAGTGCTTACTTCTCAGCAGGTCCTGATGGTAGGTAGGGGAAGGAATAAGAGCTGTAGTCTGTTGGTCCAATACACCATGACTTAGAGGCTGAATAAACCTGCAATTGGCCGTATCTTCAGCTAGCTTTCTACTCCTGAGTGCATCAGCAAGTGGCAATGAAGCAGGAATTTGTTTATTTTGAAAAGTTCAGCCAACCTGAAGTTATGAGGAGAGTGTTACACTCTACTCATATGCAATATTTTGAAGGGGCTAAACTGTAAGATTTCTTATAGGAAAGGATAGCATTTTAAATCTTTTTCTGATTTTGAAGTCTCTACCAGAAGGTTTTTATCCCTCTCACTGTAACACATGGCTGACATGTTTCTGGACAGGTGTTGGAGTCAGTAAATCAGTCCTTTGCCATTTGCATTTTGCTGCTTTTTCTGTTAAAAAAACCCCTAAACCAACAAAACCAGAATACTGTCTCCTCCCTGTTAAAATGAATGAATAAATAAATAAATCCCCAAAGCTCCTCTAGTAATACTGAGGCTAGTCAGTGCTGCCTTAGCTCAGGATGTCAGCAGCCACAGTCAAAAGACGATTCTGGAAGACATCAAAAAATAAACACTGAGAAAGAGAAGCAACTGGGGTTTTCTGTTTGTTTGTTTAGTATTAGTACTATTTTTTTTAAACAAAAGAGTCAGTAATTGGGAGGACGAAAATCTCATGCTGATTATTAAATCCTCTGGGCCTACTGAAGTATGGAGATTTTTCCAGCAGATGTTTTTCATATTTGCCTATATTTCCACGAGACATGTGAGAAACTAAAATCTCACTTAAAAATAACAGCTAGTAAGAAATGCCATAGATGAAAACATAGAAGAAAACAGTTTGATACATATGAAGAGCTCGTAAAAAAAGACCCAGGAACTCGTAACAATGAGAAAAAAGCAGTGCAGTAAGAGGACTTCACCTCTGCACAGATGCACATGAAGAATGGAATTACGTTCACTTAACAGAAAAAGAACTTTTCTCAAACTCCTACTCAACCTATTCTTCCTGACAGAAATGCCACAGAAACACTGCATTTCAGATGCAGACAATTCTCCTGCTTATGTCCTTTAAGATCAGATCACAGAGGCTTGTATAATCCTAGTTTCATGAAGAATTCTCATTTTCCCATGAAAAATTACAAATGCAAACTGACCAAGCTTTGCATCTGACTTCACGGGCTTTGAACAAACTTCTGATATCTGTAAACCCTTCCTGCACAATTTCTAATAACTAAACAGAAATTCTTTCCATCCCATCATGTGACAAAAGTATTGCCACGTGATGCTTTCTGGAATGCAAGGCTGTATCATTTGCTGGTTATCAGCACTGAAGTAAAAGAAAAGCCTTGGGTAACCTGAATTGTATTCTACTTAAAACCAAAATGGTTCTAAGTAAAATAATTTCATAATCTATTTCTGTATTTAAACATGTCATTAGGTGAATGTGAAGCCCTGGCAAAGATTCCAGTTTGATCCTCAAAGATTCTGTAACTGTATACAGATATCGAGACATCACTATGTAAGACTTGCTACTTGGATCAACAACATGTATCAGAGAACACATCAAAACCTTCCAAACAGACTGAATTTTTACCCTCAGTGGTACAACAGCCACCAAGGGTTGTTGTACCAATGAAAAGTTAGTATTAGCCAGTTTGTACCACAGTTACCATGGTTATTTCTTTCACGGGAGGAAACTGGTATTGCTGGCCACAGTTGGCTGGCTGTCCAGTTCAGTGCTACATACAGAGATCAGGGATTACCACTTCTGGCAGAAGACCTAAGGTTGTCTCAGTTCAGCACTGTGTATCTCAAAAAGCAGCTTTTCATTCCTGGTGTGTCCTGAAACCTTTAATTTTTCAGAAGCTTCAAATGGTACTGATTTACCTTCTAGAGCTCCCATAATAAAGTCAGTAAATGCAGTGGCACTGTCTTCTGATTTGGTCTTGCGTTTAGAGACCCAGAAAAAGGACTACAGAAGTTGTTGCAGATAATTATCATCTCAAATTTCTCCATCTGGTTTAGTAAACATTTGTAAACAATCATTTTGACAAAAGTTGACAGAACTGAATAGGGAATGGAAGTCCTTAGCCTAAAACAACTTGTGGAGTTATCCAGAACTGATACAAGACTCAGTACAGCTGTCTACCTAGAATGGATAGTCTCTGATGCATGGAGGCATCACAGCTATGTCTACAGGAATGTCTACAGGAATTACATAATTTTCTGTTATTTCTGCATTTTTATCTTTCAGCTGTGCAAAATAATTTCCATAAAATTCTATTTCAGTTTAATTTATACTAAAATCTGTAGGATTTTCTCATATGGGCACTTTTAGCTGAATTACCTGAGCCCTATCTCCCAGGCTCTCAGTATGTAAGACTGAACTTCCTACTAACTGGCTAGGGAAATGCTTTATTCTGGCAATGCTCACTCCAATCGTTTAGTTTGTTGTTTAATTTGCCCTCTCTCCTGTCACTGGGAAGCTCTTCCCAACAAATCAGGGGTGCTACTCTTCTTACAACAGCCTTTGAAAATATCCTGAATTTTATTGTATAAAATGTGACCAGGGATGTTACTGTTAGCCAGCTAAGTTATTTTCTCCCGCAGTGAAGGCTTCAGGTATAATACATCACAGTCACTGCAGTGTAGCATAGATCTAGCCAAGCTAACTTTAAACAAACTCACTCAAGTTCCAGGAGCAGTCTTGTTGTGGGATTACAGAGATCAGTAATTTGCTTCTTGGGTGGATTTCAGCTTCTGCTGAGACATGTATTGTAGTAGCTAGACTGCTGGAAATCATGCAGGCTACTGGTGGCATGAATGACAGAAGAGGGTGTGAAAGTTCTGTTCATTGAAAATGAAAATCTGTCTGCAGGTCTGTCCCTGCAGGATAATTTTATAAGCCTGAATCAAACCTCTACAAGACCAGGAGAGCAAAGTCAGGTTAGAACCTCTTAGTCTGTCTTCTCAAGTGGATATGTTCCCATCTTTAAAATGAGCTAGAAGTTGAGTTTCCCTCTTCCTGTTACCATTCTTCGGCTTAATGTCATTTTTCTTCAGGTGCCAGCAAGGTAAATTAAAAAAATATATCTTCTTAGTAAGCAAAACTATATAAATTGTGTTTTAAAGTGAGAAGAAATAAGAAACAACTAAAAAGGGCACTAGCTGCCTGTAGGGCTGCAACAGCTTTCACAGAGTTAAGCCTGTAATCTTAATCCACAAGAAATCATGGCATGAAACAATCCAGATAAAATTCAGAGCACAGACATCAGCACTGAAGTCATCAGTCATCACCTACCGGGAATTACTGTAGGTAGCCTAGTACTTTTAGAGGCAGAAGTCAGCTATTGCAAGAAAATAGTAAAAATAAAGCTCTCCAATAATTAGAAGAAATCTTTCCTTGTAATGTGGATCAGGCTTTATTATAACTGGTGCA